CTGTGGTTGGATCCCCGCCACCACATGCCATGCCAGCCCTGCCCTCATGGTGGGCTGAACCAGCTCCCTCCCCAAAAAAAGTTATGGGCTGGCCAGGTAGCTCAGTGGACTAAAGCATCTGCCTAGGTGGGCACAGGGACCAAGGTTTGATCCCCAGCATGCCATGCTGGCCCTGCCCCCTGGGTGCATTGAGACGGCAACTGAGACTGGGTGTGGTGGTGTGCCCCTGTAATCCCAGGGTTTAGGAGACTGCAAATAGGAGGATCATTATGAATCTGATCTGTATAATGAGACCCTGTCAACCCTGTACTAAACATATTTTTAAAAAAGAAGATAGTCCCAAGGTATAAGCAGTCTGTTGAATAAGCAATACAGGAAAAAAAAAAAAATAGAATGCATGAAACAGATCCAAAGTGAAATACAGGAATTTAAAACCTCTATCACAATCTGGCAAAACCGTTTGAATAAAAGTGAAAATAGAATTTCAGATCTTAAAGACACCATTGCAGCTAGTGAAAAAATAATTCAATACCTACAAAATGATGCAAATATTAACAATGTGAGACTGATAGGCATCAATGGGAAGGAAGGAATCAATACAAATGACATAAAAAAATATGATGGAAGTAATAGCAGAAAACTTCCTAAATATGGGGAAACTATCTGACATTCAGGTAACTGAAGCATATAGAACTCCAAATAACATCCACTCAATTAAAACCACACCCAGATATATAATAATCAAGATCTCAGAAATTCAGCAGAGGAACAGTATACTAAAAGCCACTAAAGAAAAGAAACCAAGGTATAAGCAGTCTGAGTACTAACCCCAATTCAATTTGTTCTATTCTCTTTGTCTGTTCTGGTGCCAGAGGAAATGCCACTAGATATGCTTAGTGTAAAATGAAATAAAGCCAGAGGTATTCTCTGATTAGATACTCCATTCAAGGGCCTGATTTAGTGTTTTTGCTTAGTATCTTCTAGGAAATCCATATGCCGGTCCCCAGAATTGATTAAAATCTTCTTATAGGATAGATATCCCAAAAAAGTTCTGTCTGAGACAAACACTGGCTAATGTTCTCCCAGATTTTCTTTCCTACTCCTCGGCCATCTTTCTCAGCCTTCCTTGTAGCTGAAATTGAGTGTAGGCAGAAAACATGGCTACATCTACCCTCTATGGACCTGATCTATGCCCTTCTGGGTACAGGAGCCCCTAGCTGGAGAGGCCTTGAGTCACTCCTGGGGCAGTGCCACTCTCTGTCATGGGCACCTCCTTTGTGTTGTCTAAAATATCTGCGCTGGGCCGGAGAGATGGCTCAGTAGAATAAGCGCTTGCCTGGCAAGTGCAAGGGTCTGAGTTAAATCCCCAGTTCTGCAAAAAATAAATAAATAAATAAATAAATAAATAAATAAATAAAATAGAACATCTGCGCTGGTGGCCAAGGCTGGAGCTCACTTGTTAGAGCAACTACAAGGATCTTGACTTGTGCAGCCCACCCTGGACCACAGGGCACTTGGTAGCTCTGTGGGAGGAGCAAGGACACCCAACCCTTCTTTATTTTTCTAGTGTTGAACACATTTGAAATCTTGAAAAGGAGAGCTGCATGATTCTCTGCTTTTCTTTTAACCTTTTGAGTACAATATAAATTCTTTCCCCCTTTCTCTTGACTGTTAAGAGTATTATCCTAATAATAGTTAATACTTAATAATAGCCTTAACTGACTATTCTCTATTTCTCAAAGAAATAGATCTTTGAGGCTTGCAGATCTAAGTTGTATATCCAGAGATTAGCAGTACATTGTGTGACAGCAAAAGGAAGAGAAGGAGGGAGGCACCTGGTGTGCCCGCCCCAAGGAGGCATCCAAAGGGTCAGACACGAATGCTGCCAGACGGGGTCCAGTGCTCCTCTCCTCCCAGCTTGGGGCCCCGCCCATGGTCCTCATGTCTGTCCATCCAGTCCTCAGCCATCACACAGGAGGGTGTGAGGGCCACGAATTGTTTCCTGCCACCCCATCCATTTTCCATGAGATTTCCCGTCTCTGTTTGATGGGTGTTCTTCTAAGGACAACATAGGTTGCTGGGTTGGAATACATCCTCCAAGAGTGCATTGCTGGAAACAGACTCCCAGCTCATAGACTAAGTCTCTGGACCTCAGGGTCCACAGGGGCCTAGGGGGTAATGAGGATTAAGCAGCATCGTGAGGGTCGAGCTCCCTGGTGACACTCATGCTTCATAAGAAGAGAAAGAGGGACTTGTGCCACTCTCCCTTGCTCTGTCACTCCATGTGGTGTCCTCGGCCAGGCTGTGATGCAGTAAACACAACCTCCCCTGATGTTTTGCCTCCATCGTAGACTATCCAGACTTGGGATCCGTAAGAAACAAAATTTGTTTTCTTTATGAGTCAACCAGTTTCAAGTATTTTATTTCAGCAACAGGAAATGCACTAGAACACAGGCCACTCCTGTCCATACCATTTAATCTCATTAACACCCATGCTTGATAATTACAAGACTGAGGATTGCAAGTTTAAGACCAGCCTGGATAATTTAGAGAGAGGTAGGTCAAAATAAAATTTTAAAAGGACTCAGGATATATAGCTTAGCACTTTCTGGGTTCAAGCCTATATATATATATAAAATCCCTGTTAAAAAGTGACTAAACTAATTATTATTTAAGGTAAAATAACTAACAACCACAAATTTCATTATCAGAGTCCTAAAGTTTACGGACTATTATGGAACCATCTAGTTGAACAGAGGGGGAAACTGAGGCCTTGCAGCGTGAAGTGAGCTGTGTGTAATTACAGACATGAGGTAAGAGCTCAGAGCTCCTCACCTGCAATTTTCCATGGAGCAAATTGCAGGGCTCTAGCCCTCTCCTGGTAGGATGAAGGGGCTCATCAGAGATCAAAGCAGCATCCCAGTGCCAGCACATAATCACTCAGATGGAAACCGTGGAGCCTGTACTCCTGTGCAAGAAGGAGCTCAGCTCACCTGTGCGGCACCGTGGTGGGAGAGAGCCCAGCACTTGCTCACCTGTCCCCAGCTCTGAATGGGTGCGCATCACTGATGTCTGTAGATTCAAGTTCCTAACCTCACAAAGCATTATCCGGACTCATACTGAAGGGCTTAAGGGCAAAGCAGCCCTTCAAGGTGCCTCTTTGCCCAACCGTGGAGAACCCGCCCAAATTTTACGCTACTTGGGATATCAATATTTGCTTCTGGTACTTTAGGGATATCGGACTTAAACAACACATTAATTGAGCAGCTGCTGTGCCAGGCATTAATAGAGAACACTGAGATTTTGGACTGTACATGACAAATTTAAGTTGTTTCAGGAGCAAAAGCAAGAAAGTTGCAGTGAGAGAGAGAATACGTAAAAACAAGTACATTAATTCAAGTTGTCTTATGCAAAAATCAGTTAGGGACTATTTTTTTCTTTTTTGTTCTTTCTAATACTGACAACTGAACTCAGAGTCTTCACACTAAATCATATCCCCTGCCTTTCTCTGTCCCTCTGTCTTTGTCTGTCTGTCTGTCTGTCTCTCTCTCTCTCTCTCTCTCTCTCTCTCTCTCTCTCTCTCTCTCTCTCTCTCTTTCTCATTTTGAGATAGGCTCTCCTTAAATGGCTAAATTCCTGAGCTCAAATTTGTGACCTTCCTACCTCAGGCTCCCAGGGTGTATGTATTATGGTATGCACCACTGCATCTAGCTGTATAATTCTTTTTTTCTAAATTTTACCTCATTTCTTTCACATTCTATAGGTACATCTAACAAGCTCCTACTTGTCACTCTGGCACATATTTTATTGCCAAGGCCTCCTTAGAACAGCTCAGAAATCCATTGCTCTCATAAGTGCATTGGTTCACCACTGAAGTGGAGGATGGACCCTGTTCCTCAGCTATTCCACGTTTGGGGCTTTGAGAACAGTGCTCAGGTCTAGAACTAGGTCCAGATGGCTTGCTCCCACTCTCCCTGCCAAGATGAGCTGGTTTATTCTTCCAGGCACCAGGTGTCCTCCCATCTGCTCATTTCAAGGAGCAGAAAAGCTCCAACAGAGCAGAGTCATACTGTAAATGGGAAAACAGGACAATCAGAACCAGTGACACCCAAAAGGGCAGGGAGACCATTACTTCTGGTCCTTCCAAGACCTGATGTGGCTTTTCCAGAAAGCGCAAACACAGTCCTCAAAGTCTTTCTCCTCCTCTGCACTACAGTAAGGCTCTGAGGTCAGTCACAACTGCACTGTCCTGGGCTGAAAACCTTGTGACAAGTCCTCAACTTTACTCATCAACAGTAAAAGTCCTGCCTTCCCAAGGGGAGGGTGTCCACTCACCTGCACGTGGAGGCTCAGCAAACTCTGGACTCGCCTACACCTCGTGTACTCAGCCTATACTGCAACAATGTGACACCCCCAAGCCAACTGTCTCTGAGTTCCCATCTCTGCATGTGCCACTTCACACTACAGAGCAGGAAGTATACTACTGCAATGCACTCAGTGTTCACTTTATTAAAAGATAAACTGATGTCTCTACTGATGACATGCATAACCACGCCTCTCATCAACTAGAACCAAACCAAAGCCAAATCCTAACAGTTTAGCAGAAAAATCAAAGCATATTGAGCTCTATTCATGTAAGACAGCATGTTTTACATTAGGCACACACCACACACCATGATAAAGAACAAGATATGGATCCAGTGAGGGTGTAGTTTGTACAACAATCTCATGAGAATCAGTAATTCTGCACTCTCCTGCTAATTATTTTAGCTAGTAACATGCATTAAATGTCAACCACTTTTTCAAGAGAAGGTGCTATCTAAATTAAATCCATATCTGGTCTCCCAGGAAGTTTGTCTGTCCTTCTGGCAGCTCACCTGCTACCAAGAACTTAGTTGAGTGTCAGCTGTGCTTGCCAGCGTCTTCAGAGCAGAACCCCTGGCCCAGGACAGTACCCTGCTGTGGACCTGGCCTCACTGGGCACAACAAGCATGCTGTCTTCAAACCCACTCAGACTTTTTGGTTCTCAAGTAAGGGACACTGCCAGAGGGGACCAGCTGCTCAGGAGGTTGTAGCAGGCAAGATGAATAGTGGCTGGCCAGGTGCCTTTGAGAGGCAAAGGGACATACCTCTGACCGAGTGAGGCCTTTGCTCATTGGGTCCTGCGTGGCCTCTCTGGAGCATCTGCCTCCAGGCTCTCTGTGAGCCACGGGCAGTTTATCACTGGCTGAGGGCAACCTCTCATTGCCATCTTCCTCCAGAGGTGCTACACAGCCTGATGCAGCAGGCTGACCACTGGAGCTGTTGGTACTCTGACCCCCAGCCCACCCCTCAGGGAAAGATGGCACTGCCCCTTCCCCCCATCTGCCAGCCTCATCCTCCTCGCTGGGCCTGTTCCCCTTAGTATGGTTTGGAGGAGATGCTCTGACTCCATACTCTTTGATGTAGGGGCTGTTCGCCCGCTGCCTGGGGCCTTGCCTCCTGCTAATCCTTCTCTGCACACTGCAAAGCAGATCTGCAACACTGAGGAGGAAGGACAGAACACTCATGGTCCAGGTAAAAAGCATCATAATGGACTTCTCTGTGGGCCGAGAGACATAGCAATCCACCACGCTGGAGCATGGAGAGTGCGTGCAAGAGAATCTCTTAGGGACCAAGAACCCAAAAAAGAGGTAATGCCAGGTCCCAAATGCAGCCTCCATCAGGGTCTGGAAACACAGGTGGATAAGGTAGCCACAGGAAAAGTCTGGCACACTTGGGGCACCTCCAGCTGACCAGCAGGCTCCCCGGGTGGCAAGCTGGGTGCCTTTGTGGAGGACATAGACACTAAACGTGGCATAAGGAAGGAGCACAGACACCCCCTGCACCAGCCAGAACCGCAGCTGGGACACAGGGGAGAAGATGTCGTAGCACACGTTGGCACAGCCCGGCTGCAGAGTGTTGCAGACAAAGCGCTCCTGCTCATCCTGGTAGATGGGGTACCCGGCCAGGAGGACCACACCCATCCTCAGCAGCACAGTGAAGAGCAGCCAGATCTTTCCTGAAAAAGAGCAAAAAGGAATGGCCTGGTCACCACCTCATCAGCACATTTCCTGGGAATACTTACTCCATTTCATGGGCTGACATGTTGTCCAATTCCAGAATTGGAAATAAAGCAAACTTGAGATTTTATCTAAACAACAGCTTTTAAATATTTCCTGAGTAGAAACCAGAGAAGTCAGTAGGCATCTGTTTAGTCATAGCAGGAGTATCAGCTGCCTTGTTCATTTGCTATTTATTTATCGAGCATTTAGCATGTCCTAGATACTGCACTGAACTTATTTGTAAGATACTTCTAGATGGGCAGATTTTTGAAGAACATTATACCAACTCCCTACAATAAAATGAGATTGTTATGTACTACAAACATGTACTAATAAAAAAAGAACATTATATACTAAAAATGTTTTCATCTGACTCCACTCGTTTAGACATTTGTTTATATCTTTTGGACTAAAATTTCCAGAAAGAAAGTTTAGTTGAGAAAATCAATGATGTAAAAAAATACCTTACTCATCTTATGAGGATAAGATATTTTTAAAGGTTTTAGCATGTTCCTGTAACTGTGCAGAGAAAAATGCAAGCTGCTCATTCCCGTGTCTTCCTCATTTATGATAGTGGCCCACAAGATCAGTCACAAGACTGGTGTTTATGGTTGTTCTTTTGTCCTTGAAATTGAACTTCTTTAAGAACATTCGATCTTTCAATAATTTCCCCTATTCTATGAAATAATGTTTGTTTTTCATCCATTTTATATCAATGAATGCATCAAGCCTTCAAAATAATTTCAAACCTCACTGTCACATCATGATTCGCCTACTTTGGAACACATTTAAAACACAGTCAAAATAACTTGTAAATACTAAATTGTGTGACAAAATAAAGCATCATTTGAAATTAGAAAACCAAAACCTATTGTAATGAAGGCAGCTGAGTTCAATGATTATTATTCGATGATGACACCAAGTTGAACTTTTAACATGAGACTCATTTTGTTTAAACTCTACAAAATAATGAGTAAGAAAAATACCAACTCCATCTCAGGTAGGTATTAGTTCCTTCCTTCCTCAATCCCTTTTGCCTTGACACCCACACCTCTCTGAAATTTGACTTATCTATATAAAAGACAGAAATCATTATTATATTATATATGTTGTTAATAACGAGGAGGGAACCTAGGGGTGTAATTCAATGATGGAGTACTTGCCTAGCATGCTCAAGGCCCTAGATTGCATCGCCAACATTGAAAAAAAAAAAAAAAAGACCAATAAATAAAAATTATGAACTAAACTACAAGGCACCCAAGAAAAACTACTCATCTTTATAAATTAAGTTTCAAGCACAAAAACAAAACTGGATGCTTGAGAAGTAAGCATGACCCAGGCAACATTTTCTCATTATCTTCAACTACAACAATTATTTTCCTGGTACCAAGCCCAAGCAGATGGCATGCAAATCTCCCTCCCACTGGCTTCAGCAGTGAGGAGACAACCTGGGACAAGGCTTGCCTCAAGGATGCATTCAGTGATGGTGGAGCCATGGTGCACTTGGAGAACAGCTTGTCCCCAAGTTCCCTGTGCTCCAGCCACACACTGGTCTTAGGAGTCACCAGGAACTCTGGAACTGGATACACTCTGAGCCTTTCAGATGTAGTCCAAGCAAAGCAACAATAACAGTAGAGCAGAAGTTGGGGTTCTCCCAACACTCACCCACAATGGTCACATTGCAGTTTAATGTGACAATGAGGAACCCCAGCAAGTCCAAGTTCTCCATGCCTCCAGAACGTTACAAACTCGCAGATTTGTGGCCTCCAAGAAGGTGGAAAATCTTTAGAGAAATAAATCTATTTTAGCTACAAAGGCTTAGAGATAAGAGTTGGAGCTATGAAGAGAAAGATTTGAGCCCGAGAGCAGGAGATGAGTGTTTCTGACTCCACGTTGACTGGTTTCCAAGCTGCCTGCCTCGGAGGCAAAGCATTCCTAACAACTGCAGGGACCAGAGTGACAGAAGTCAGCTCTTATTATGGCTATTCTTGCCCTCTTGGGATATTCCAGGCCTGTGGTGGTGCTCATATGTCTCCACCAGGACAGCCAGACGCTCCAGGATATAATAGAAGGAACTACTTTTAGCCAAGAAAAAAAGCTTTGTCAACTAGCTGGGGAAGTTTCTCTATTAAAAAAGCTATTTTCCTCCCAGAAAACAACTTGACAGCCACTTCACTTATGAAAGAAACCCTAGAGCATTCACACTGTCTTCATGAGAATCCGACCACTTGGAAGGGCTTTTGCCCTCACTCTGAATCCCTGCACTTTGATGACACAAGCATAAATCCGCACACACGTGTTTGTCTCAGCATTAAATGGGCTCTTGGCTATTTTCTGGCCTCCGTGTGGGTGAGTGATGAGCTCTTCATGTGGAGGCAAACAGCCCAGTGCAAAGCACAGGGCAGGCTCCAGCCTCATGAGGGAGCCCCCAGGTCTCTCCCAGATGCCAGCATCATGCAATAAGGAGAAGATGCATTGGCAGGAGGCACACATGAAGGAAAGATACATGAGTCCCAAGCATGGGGAGATGGCTATGATCACATCATGGGGATCTTAGCCCTCCATGACCCATACACTGTATCTTCCTTTTGTATCTCTCAGCCCTAGCCAGCCTATAGCAGCTGCCATATAAAGTTGTTTAATGTGCTTCATTCAACTTACAGCCAAATATCACCATCTGGACCACAGTATCATCAAAATCCTACCATGGAGATTCTTATGTCTGGAAGCAGCCCATCATGCAACCCTGGAGATCTAGTACCAATTTGGGGATTGTGAACACGGAAAGGATTTATTTCCATTTTACACAAAAGGTCATCTTTACATCCTATCTATTCCTCATTCCTGATTTGTTCTTGACTTTAGTAGCATCCATAGAAAAAGGTTCTCAGAAGGAGCAGCAACTGCTTTCATCTCTACTCACATGGCTGGAGCCCATCCATGGAAAACATTTTGATCACCTTGAAACAAATACTAGTTTTGTTATATTTTAGTCAAATGTTTTGAAGGGAGCTTTGAATTTTAGAGAAACTACAGTTGAGTAAAAATATTGCAACAGTCATAGAAGCGTTAAATGAAGAATAAAGCACATGCTTAGGCAGAAAGCAGGGACCAGGATTCGATCCCCAGCATGCTATGCTGGCCCAGTCTCCAGGGTGCACTGAGATAGTGACTGAGACTGGGCGTGGTGGTATGCACCTGTAATCCCAGCACCCGGGAAGCTGAAAACAGGAGGATCACTACTGGTCTGATCTATGTAGTGAGACCCTGTAGACTCTGTACTAAATACATTAAAAAAAAAAAAAAAAAGAATATATCTGTGTCCTCGTGAACTGCTCCTGACATTGGTTTATACATCAAAATATTAGGATAACAAGTGTTGAAATCTGCTGTGTGCTAGAAATAACCTACCTCAACTCTTTTAGAATATTTTGCTGAGTTTACACACCCATAATATTCAACAACGGAACTAAAAAAAATTGGGGTATAACTATGAATGTCCATTTTGTATCTGTGTATTCAAAGTGGTTGGGATAGATATATAGTTGCATTCTCTTAATGAATAGAATGATTTTTTCTAATGGTGTTTGTAAGTAGGATCACAAGTCTGCATCTTGTACAGCAATTAACCACTAAGAAGAATATATGCAGTGTATTATTTGTTGAAACTGTACTTTCGATTTGATTGGAAACTGTCTCATTGCTATATGTTTATCAATAAAACTTTGAAAAGAAAAGAAAAAAAAAAGAAATAACCTACCTCAAATGTTGAGTCAATTGAAATTGCATGACCTTGAGCAAATCACTAGAATATTTTATGTCTCAGTTTTCCGATCAATTAGACAGAAAACAGAATGGGCACTTTAGCTACTCAGAGGAGTTATGATATACAAAAGAGAGCACATACGTGAAAACTCTTTTAAAATACAGAATGAATTATATCTTCTCATTTTACAATATTTATTGCACATTTTGTATTTTATTTAGTCTTGCAACTTCTCCTATTAGGGAGGCAATACGATGTTCACACATGCGACTCCAGTTTATTTTACTTTGAAGTATGGTCTCAAAGTGCATCCATTTATCTATAAAAGTCTCAAGTTTACTCTTATTTATGGCTGAATAGTATTCCATTGTATAAAAAGACTAAATCTCTTTTACTCATTCCACGGGGGATGGGCATTTGGGCTGTTTTCACCATCTAGCTTATACAAATTGTGCCGCCATAAACATGAGTGCACATGTGTAGCTGTGGCACAGTGTTTTCAATTCTTCTGAGAAGAAACCCAAAAAGGGAATAGCTGAGTCAAATGGAAGCTACAATGCTAAGTTTCGAGGAATCTCCACACTGATTTCCACAGAGTTGCACCAGTCTACACTCCCACCAGCATGTGTTATTGGTTGATTTCTTAATAATAGCCATTCTTTCTGGGGTGAGAGAGAGATTCTCAGTTTTGGTTTAATTTTCACGTCTCAGATGAACAATGATGTTGAACATTTTTTTCGTATGTTTATTTGTTGTTCATATTTCTTCATCTGAGAAGCGTATATTCATCTCAGATATCCATTCTGGGGTTGAGTCTTGAAATTTGGGAAGTCTGAGGTTTTCTTTTTCTCTATATGCTCTTGACAATAATCCTTTGTCTGAGGAACAGCTGGCAAACATTTTTCCCACATTGTATATTGTCTTTTAACTCTGTTGGTGGTTCTCTTGCTGCGCAAAAGCTTTTTAGTGATAGGAAATGCCAATTGTTGATTCTGTGTAATCAGGACTTTATTCATAAAATTTTTGCCTACACCAATGTCTTGAAGAGTTTTATCTCTTCTATCTTGCAACAGATTTAATGTTTCTGTTTTAAGATTTAGATTTTTTGAATATTGTAAAATGAGAAGGTACTGTTCAAAAGGAAAGAGAAAATGGGACGAGGGAAGGAGAAAAGAAGGGGAAAGCAAGATAGTTAAGATAATTATAAAACTAATCTGTCTCAGCTCATTCAAAACAAAAGTTTGTGTTAATGTTGTTTGGATAATTAAATGTTTAGATCTTATATTCTAGTACCTCATTTAAAGATAACAATATGCAATGCATTAACCATTGTTACTCTCCTATTATCCTCTCTTGAAATTTTATTTACATTTTTTTTCTTTAAAGTTAAATTTTTAAAATTGTACAGAATGATGCAGTGTTGGTGGTGGGTATGTAGCCGCCTCCTCTGTGGGGTTTCCCACCTCAGCTCTCCTTTTGCCCAGGGCCACCAGGGACTCTCCCAAACTCAGTGTGTTTGCTCTTCCTCCTTTAAATCCATTTGTTTCACTGTATTTTGTCTTTTTGTCTTTTTTCTCCTCCTTACAGAAGACATTTTTGCTTTATCTGGAAGTCTTGACTGCTATGGCTACAAGAAGAGGTGGAAGAAGAGAAGGAATGGCTGGAGATTCAAACATCTAGCTGTGTAGTACTGAAATGACCATGACATCTGTGAGGAGGCACCCACTTGGGTTTGTGGTGGAGAGAATACTTATGGGAGGGCTTGCTGGAGTCAGTATGAAAAAATCCAGTGGAAGAGGGAATGTGAATATGGCTAGACCATACATGATGCCAAGTTGGAAGTAGTTCACAGGGTGAAAGCAGTAAGCAAACAAGAAAAAGGCCAATATGACCATGCACTATTTTGCCTTGTTTTTGTTTTTGTTTACCTCTTTCTAGTTTATTGGCACTGGCCAATTATTTAAGCCTTAAATTTACCATCTGAAAGGCTGATACTTAATTTGTAGGGGTAGGGATTACGTTTAAATATGATTCTATGCCAGTGAGATAGCTTAGTGGACTAAGCCCCTGCTAAGCAAGCATAGGGACCAGGGCTTGATTCCTGGTACGGCATGCTGCACCAGCCCTGCCCTCAGGCCTGTTCAGCATGTGATTAAATCCAGGCATGGTGGCGCATGCCTGTAATCCCAGTGCAGGGGAGGCTGAAAACAGTTCTTGCACCTGACAGGCAGGCACTAAAACTATAGAGCTATCTCCCGGCCCCCATATATTTTTAATACATGTATAGCTCACTATTGTTGAACTCATGGCCAGTAGCCTTATAATGTATTCCTGACTACCGCTTACCTAACACAGGTCCTCTCTAGGTGGGGCCTGTCATGACTTTCTCAGGCCTAGAAAGACCAGACAGCACTTCAGCTCTGCGTAGTCACTTTCTTGTTGGTGGAGCACAGTATATGACACAACTTAGAGGGAGAGCTTATTCTGACTTGCCTTACGATCTACTTTGGCTGCTGCAAGGTAGAAACAGCCTAGTGGAAGCATCTGGCTGAGGAAAGTTGCTTCTATTATGGTGGCCAGGAAGCTTGAGAGAGAGGGAAGGGTCCTGGGAGGGAGAGCAATCCCTAGTGACCTACCCCCAGCCAGGCCTGCCTCCTTACAGCAAGTCAGCTAAAGTCCTGCCCTGCCAAAATTCAGTCACCTTCCAAAAGCCCCACTTCTGAGCACATAATAGTCATGGGGGACATTTAAGATCTAAACCATAACAAGCACTGTGCCTGAAGACATTTGACACTAAAGTTATCAACAAAGGAGGGCAAGGGAGATGGCTGAGTAAAATAAGTGCTTCCCTGGCAAGCACAAGGTCCTGAGTTCAATCCTCAGTTCTGAAAAAAAAAAAAAAAAAAAGTTATCAACAAAGGCTGGGGGAAGAATTAGCACATACTTGTACTTCCAGCTACCAG